GGGATGACATCTGAAATGTAAATAAATAAAATAGCCAATAAAAAAATAAAAAAAAAGAAAATGGTTTTGTTTGAAAAATTTAAAAAAATATGTTTTAAGCTGTGCTTGGGTGCAGGACTGTAATGCTAGCTACTGGAGATGCTATGGTAAGAGAGCCACAAGTCCAAGGGTGGCTTTAGCTGCAGAATTAGTTCAAGGCCACCCTGGACCACTTAGTAAGACCTTATCTCAAAAAGGGAAAAGGCTGAGGGTGTATCTCAGGGGTTGAGTTTTACCTTAGAACGTTCTGGGAATTCCCTGGGTTACACTACAGTAACACACGCACACATACATGCACACACACTAATGCTATAGTCAAAGACATTGTTAGAGACAAAGTTTTATTTTTTTAATAAAACATTTTTATTTATGTGTATTTATGTGTGCCTGCCTGGCTATCTGTGTCCACCACACGTGTACTGCTGAGGTAGGAGGGCGTGTCAGATCCCCTGGAGCTAGAGTTGTGAGCCACCTGATATGGGTGCTAGAACCAAACCCAGGTTCTCTGGAAGAGTAGCAAGTGTCCTTCACCACTAAGCAATTCCTCCAAAATTTTATTCTTAAAAAATTAATAAAACAAAAATCTCTGAATCTGGGTGTGGTGGCACATGCTGTACTCTCAGCACTTAGAAGGATGAGGTAGGAGAGTCAGAGATTTGCAGTCAGCCTGGGCCACAGAGCAAGGCCTTGCCCCCAAACAAAGTAGAAAACTGATAAATCATGGGAAAGAGGGGCAATAGTACAGATGATTATCAATGAAAAAGGTCATTCCTAAAAATCCAGGGAGATTAAGACAGAGGCTAATAAGGGGGTGGTTTTGGAAACTTGGATGGCATGGACTTATCTCTAGAATTCTCTTCCTTGATTTCTAAAACGGTGTCTTGACAGTGCTGGTGACAGAACCCAGGGCATGAGCACATCTGGAGAATACTCTGCCACTGAGCTACGTTCCAAACCCCTGAAGCATCCTTGTTTGTTTATTTGCTTGTTTAAGGCAAAGACAGTGTCTACTGACACCATTTCTGTTTAATGCACACTTGAGGTTTCAGCTTGTATAGTCAGACATGAAAACTAAAAGACATATGTTATTGGAAAGGAAAGGTTTGTGGGCAATGTTTCTTCTTTTTGCATTATTTATTTTATGTGTATGGGGTGTTTCTTAGTTAGGATTCCTATTGCTTTGATGAAACACCATGATCAAAGAGCAAGTTGGGGAGGAAAAGGTTAATTTGGCTTCCACTTCTATATCATAGTCCATCATTGAAGAAAGTCAGGACAGGAACTCAAACATGGTAGGAACCTGGAGGCAGCAGCTGATGCAGAGGCCATGGAGGAGCGCTGCTTTCTTATAAAACCCAGGATCACCAGCCCAAGGATGGCACCACCCACAATGGGCTAGGCCCTCCCCATCAATCACTAATTATGAAAATGCCTTATTGGCTGGGGCAGTAGTGGCACATGTCTTTAATTCTAGCACCGGGGAGGCAGAGGCAGATGGATCTCTGAGTTTGAGGTCAGCCTGGTCTACAGAGCAAGTTCAAGACAGCCAGGGCTACACAGAGAAACCCTGTCTCGAAACAAACTAACCAACTAAACAAACAAAAACAAAGAGAATGCCTTATAGGCTTGCTCTTGTGGACACAGCTTTCTAATTGAGGTTCCATGTTCTCAGAGATGTTAGTTTGTGTCAAGTTGACATAGAACTATCTAGTATAAGGTGTGAGGGTGTGTGTGCCATGTAGAACTATCTAGTATAAGGTGTGAGGGTGTGTGTGCCATGACTGATGCTGAGTCACAGGAGAGCATGCATAAGGCAGTTCTTTCCTCTTACCATTTGAGTTCTGGGATTGAACTCAGGTCATCAGGCTTGGCATGAAATGCATTTACCCACTAAGACATCCCACCAGTTGATGATGCTTCTTTATGTAGAAAGGAAAAAAAAAGGAATGATTTATAAGTTAATAGAAGTACCTGTGACAAGGAGATAGCTCACAGGATAAAGTGTTTGCTATGTAACCATAAAGACTGGAGTTCAGATCCTTAGAACCCATATAAAAGCCTGGCATGAATGGGAGTCGCCTGTATTCCCAGGGCTTAGGAGACCTATAGAGCATGGTCAATAGTTAAATACAAGGAATTGCTAGACTCTAGGTTCAGTCAATCGCTAATTAAGAAAATGCCTTATTGGCTGGAGTGGTAGTGGCACATATATTTACGCCAGTAAATATAAAGTGGAGGTTGGGCATGATGGCTCATGCCTTTAATACCAGCACTTGGAAAGCAGAGGCAGGTGGATCTCTGTGAGTTTAAGGCCAGCCTGATCTACAGAGTGAGTTCCAGGACAGCCAGAGATACACAGAGAAACCCTGTCTTGAAAAACAAACAAAAAAATCAAAATTAAAAGACATCAGTGATAGCAACAGAATATGCTCCATAAAACTTAAAATTCTTACAATGTATCTTCTTCACCGGATTTAGGGGAAAGTGTTTTAATTTGCGTCTACGCTCAGTTCTGAGCGGAGGTCTCTATAGCCCCTTAGCACAGGTCCCATTTACCCTGGCATCCCATAGCCTCTTCCAAATCCAACAGTGGAGTGTTTGCACATCTGACTTATAGCAGATGTTGGTCTCACTGGAGAATACTGGGCTCTGATCTCCTGTGTGCCAGAGGCTCTCCCCCTCCTCAGTAATACCCGATCCTCTCTGAGGGCTAACCCACTGTTGATATAAGAAAGACGGAGTAGAGGATCTCACCCAGAGAGCGCTGTGAGCCTTGGTGGTGGGATGACTTGGAACTACTTTCTCATCTATTTCAGACTGTGTGGCTTGTCCTTCTGCAGACTTCACGAGTAGCTACCCGCTCAAGGCATCCCAGACTTACACAGTCGTCTCCCAAGTAGCAATTCAACTTACAAACTTAACACCTAGAACTACTTAACATGTTGCCTGTTGGCTCTTCCTTTAATAAAAAGGATCCTTGGGTGTTTAAAAGCAGTTTGTAGCTTATAAAGAATTACCGCAACCACTCAGGGATAATTTATAGGTATCTCGTTGGCAAATACAACTAAAATGTGGTTTCCCACCATCCCTTTTATGGCTTATCCTAATTAGTCATTCAATATTCTATAAAAACGACATTCTGTATTATATTGTGACCATCTCGCTGATGCTACTGAGCAGGTTTGGGTTTGTTTGACTTGGAATGTAAACAGATAGTTAAAGAAGCAATTCACGTGTGAGTTCTTCTCAGCCTGCAGGTTGAGCTTTAACAGCTGTTTCTCCTCCCCGTGTGCCTCCCCTCATGTAGCAACTGGAGCTGTGTCAGAGGCTGTACAAGCTGCATTTCCAGCTGCTCCTGCTCTACCAATCCTATTGCAAGCTCATCGGCCAGGTGCATGAAGTAAGCTCCGTGCCCGAGGTGAGTCCTCCCGCTCCTCTCCCCGCAGAACCACTTAGTGGCTTTGTTAGTGGTTTTTTATTTTCTTTTTTCTCTGTCCTCCACCCCACTGGTGATGGTACACATAGTGTCTGTTTTTTGTTTGCTTTGGTTGTTTGCATATAATTATTCTATGCTAGCACAAGTGAGAAAGAAATTCATTCTATTCTTAACTTTGAATGGTTTTCAAGAACAGGACCACAACTAAAATAAAGAGAGTGAGGTAGCCCCACATTTGGGGGCCAGTCCCCTGACTTCTACAGTTACACTGGAAGCTACACATCACCCTGGTGGGTTTTCTCCTTGGCATGTAGCATTTCACACTTGCCTTAGTGTAAGGGAGGATGGAAGGAATGTCCTAAGGCTTCTCATCCCTGCTTCAGGGTCAGGATGCTCCAGCACATCTGAATGTCAAAATTAAAATCATTTGAATATACCGCTTCTAAAGGGGTGGCAGTGTGCACTGGGGAAATGCTGAAACTGTATACCTGATGTATACCAACAGTGATTCAATATTTATATAACCCAATTCTTTAGATATGCCACATAGGCCAGTGGGGTTTTGTTGTTGTTTTGTCTGTTCTGAGGCAAGGTCTCCCTGGGTAGCCCAGACTGGACTCACTGGGTAGCCTAGGCTGGCCTCAAATTCCTATTGATCCTCCTGCCTCATTCTTCCAAGTGCTGGGATTCCAAGAATGTACCACCATACCCAGCTCCCTCATTTATAGAGACACTGAATCTCTGCTTCAAGAGACCCACATGACCAAACTTCTGTCCCTAAATACATTACATTTGTTTGAAACAGTTGCTGAACATGTCCAGAGAACTGAGTGATCTGAAGAGGAACCTGAAAGAGGCCACTGCAGCCATCGCCACAGACCCAGTGTACATCGAGGGGGCGTGGTCAGAACCAACCTTCTCCTCCACTGAGGCAGCCATCCAGTCCATGCTGGAGTGCCTGAAGAACAATGAACTTGGCAAAGCCCTGCGGCAGATCAAGGAGTGCAGGTGGCTGCACTGTTCCTCCCAGGGGTGGTTGTAGGAAACACAGACTTAAGCCTGCCCCTTTTGGTGGTTAGGGACCACTGCTCTTCCACAGGATCCAAGTTCAGGTCCCAACACCCGCATGGCAGCTTACAGGAATCTGTGGTTCCGGTTCCAGGGAATGCAGTGCCCCCTGCAGGCTGCCATGAGCACTAAGCACTTGTAGTGCACAGAAATCCAGGCAACCACTTGTACATTCAAAGCAAGTTTTTAGTTTTTTATCAATAATAATGAATATTCTAAACGTGATGACAGCAATATTTGGACAGCTCTAGATGTATCATTTATGAGCTTTAGAGGAGTCTATGATATGCTGCAGGAACATCTCAGTAAAAGGTTAAAGCATATTTTTATAGTAATCAAGACTTATACCTCCCAACTCTGGCCACTAATCTTTCCTGTTCTTTCTTCCCCACAGAAGCCTGTGGCCCAATGACATCTTTGGAAGCAGTTCTGACGATGAGGTCCAGACGCTCCTGAATATTTATTTCCGTCATCAAACTCTGGGACAGACCGGTACTTATGCCCTGGTGGGGTCTAACCATAGCCTGACTGAAATCTGCACCAAGCTCATGGAGCTGAACATGGAGATCCGAGACATGATCCGCAGGGCCCAGAGCTACCGGGTCCTAACAGCTTTCCTCCCAGACTCCAGTGTTTCCGGCACTAGTCTCTGACAGGAGCCTCCCGTCCCCCATGGTTTCTAAGCTTGCAGTGCTGCCATGCTGGGGCGACCTCATTCAGTGTCTTCTCGGCCTTCGCAAGGCTTGGACGGAGCATTCCCCTCTTGTTACCTGTAGGACTTTTTCTAAAGAAGATGACTCAATTTCCAATGTGTAGCAATACTGTCCAAACCGAGGCAGCCTAGGACCTCCTAAGACAGACTCCACCCATCCTCATATGTGGCTGCCCTTCACCAAACAAATACAACCCATGACTGGAGACATGACTTCTGTTGCTTTACCAAAGCTGACCACACTGAATGACCCTATCCTTTCTAGAGACAGTTTTAGATTGGCAAAAGTGCAATGTTTTTCTTCACATGAAAAAAAAAATTGTATTCTAAAGCTTGTACATTCATTCCCTTCCTTTCTTGCCTATTTTCCTTCCTTTGAGTTTTCTTTTCTTTTCTTCCTTCCTTCCTTCCTTCCTTCCTTCCTTCCTTTCTTTCTTTCTTTCTTTCTTTCTTTCTTTCTTTCTCTTTTTCCCCCCTTTGGTGGATATGTTTGTTTGTTTTAGTGAGTTGCAAAAAGGGGCAGGCAGAATGAAGCTGGCCACTGAAAACCTGTAAGATGGTCGAAAGCTGACAGCCGTGTGCTCTGAAAGGGGATTGTAAGTGGGTTACAATTTGATGTACACTGTGTCTAAACGAGGCTGCTAGGAAGGACCTTTCTGAAGTTGCTAGGCTACTGTTTCTGAAAACCCTGGATCTCTCTGTGCCAGGAAAGATCCAGATGGATTCTTTTTAAAAATCATGGCTGCTTTTTACAAAAAGGGTTCTTTAATAAGCGTTATTTATACTACAGAAGAATGAGTGTCCCTTTGCATTACCTTTGCCATTTTGTAGAAAAGCAAATTCTTTACAAAAGTCCCAAGTCATTTTATCTGTCTGCATGCATCCTGTAGCCATTTGGATAGCCGGAAGTAGAGTCATAAAGGGAAGATATGAGTTGCCACTTTATGAATGATGTCATATTTTATTTGTAATATATGTGTAAAGGGTCTTTCTTAAAACTTCCTTCCTTAAACCCAACACTGTCGAGTGGTACATGTGGGCATGTGACCTGTTGCACATCCAAGGCATATTCAGAATTGATCTACGTAACTTATTCACTGTGTAAATACATTTAAAGTTTTTGTGATGTGATCTTGGTTGATAATTCTGTTCAGAATTGCCTTTAGATTACAAAAAGAGAAAAAAAGAAAAGGACATGTTGATCATGGATTTTATTTCTAGTGAAATTAAAATACTTGCTTTTGATGTTTGTATTTTTACATGTGGCTGTCCCTGTGACAACCTTGGGTAGAGTATGTACTTGTACTCAATGAATGACACACACCAGACTTGTGCAGTATATGGCCCCTGAATCCAGACAGAACTACAATCTCTTTGGAAATAGGTACCAAAATAAGAACGTGACTTTTTATTATAGATATACAGACTTATCATTTTACATGTGTGTACATCTCAGTGTGTGACTGTGGACCATGTCCATGCTGCTGCCTGTAGAGGTCAGAAGAAAGCATTACAATTATGGGTCATTGTGAACAGCATGTGGGTGCAAGGAATCAAAACACAGTCCTGTGGGAGAGCAGCCAGTGCTCTGAACTGCTGAGCCATCTCTCCAGACCCTGTCCCTTTTGTTACTTGTAATTCTGTGTACAGGTCTGTATATGCAAATGTGCACTTGAATACAGACAGAGTCTGGTCCTCCTGCAGCTGTACTTCAGACACTTGTGAGCTGCTTGACCCAGGTGCCATGACTAACTCAGGGCCTCTACAAGGACAACATGAGCTCTAACCACTGAGTGATCTCTCCAAACCCAAGACTAACTTTCTTTTTCTTTTTCTTTTTCTTTTTCTTTTTTTTTTTTTTTTTGGTTTGGTTTTTCCAGACAGGGTTTCTCTGTGCAGCCCTGGCTGTCCTGGAACTCACTCTGTAGACCAGGTTAACCTCGAACTCTCGAACTCAGAAATCCGCCTGCCTCTGCCCAAGACTAACTTTCAATCATCTCTTACTAATCAAGGAGAAAATCAGACCTGGGCGTGACAGCTCAATTCTGTAATTCCAACACAGAGACTTGTCCATATAGATGAATTGAATGACCATGGTGCTTCCTTGTCCCCAAACACCCTTCTAAAGCCATCAGAAGCTTCTCTTTTCTAAAAGACTAAGTTGTAGAAAGTATCAACTCCATTCCCATCCTGACTCTAGCCCCATCTCCGTGCACCTTCCCACTTCCGGTCTCCATCTGATCTCTTCCTAGTCTTTCAGTCTAAGTTGCTCTTAGTCCCATGTTTCCTCCTTCATGG